TTTCATAAATTTTTTGGACAAAACAGAGAAAAAACAAAGGAAAATCAAATGGAAAAACATATTAACGTCACTAAAGAATCAATTAAAAATTAATTAATCTAGCTTCCCGATAACGGTGTTAAATTTTTTATTTGCACTAGTCACGTATGTACCAAATTAAACTAAGTGGATAACCTAATGTGTATAGAGAGCAACCTAGGTCAAATTCCCTAGCAAGTTAGATTTTAAATTGATTAAGAATTACTATCAAATGTGTTGTAAACAACAAGAAAATTGGTTTGATTAATTGTCTAAAAATGCAATTAAAATTCTAACAAATGTTTATCCAATTTTGGTTTTAAGAGAAAATGGGTGAACGAATGAAGTGTATTTGCAACAACGAATGAAAGTGATCCTTAAAAGTGTGATGGTGAAGAAATCCTCATTCAACAATTAAATTACTAAGGAAATGTTGTCATTGGCCAAATGTAATTCAAGACCACCCTAAACATAGCTAACAAAGCCACACACACAACCCTAACCATTAATAGTCATGCAGTGAACTAAATTAGCATCATTAAGCTTCTAGCGTGTTATTGGTTAATTGATTGACTTAGAATAGTACCCAAAACAATGTCTAACCAAGAATTATTCCAAAATAACCTTAATTAGAATATGTCAAAGTTTCACAATGTAACTATACAATTGCCGATGCCAAGAACATCTAATGATTCAACACAACTATGCATTAAACCATAGAATTCAAAAGTTAAGCAAAAATTCTAGTAACCAATGAACTCAACAACAAATATTCCTAATTAAAATGACAAAGGCATTTAATCAAACATTTTGTGTGCAACATTACTACTTTACTAATTCAACTATGAAAAGAGAAATTGCAAGTGAAAAAAAAATAAGGGGAACAAGAGTCTAGAAATCCTTAATCATTAAAGTTTATGAATTCAATCTTCAATCAATCAATCCCTTAGGAATCATGAGCATTTAGCCACAATTCATCACAACATCAATTCCAGCTCCAAAAGTGCAACATAAATTCGGCCATTTGATGGAAGAAAGAGAGACTTGATCAAGATGTAATTGAGGAATTTGACCGAATAGCTTGTGAGGATATAATGCAGATAGATGGAGGAGTGTTTTTCTGGTTTTGATTCTGGAATCGATGAATGAATTTGATAGAACCTCAGGAATGAATCAAAGATGAGGGGAGAGAGAGATGATGATGAATGTTAGAGAAACGGAGAGATCGAGGAAGTGATCCAGTGCGTAGCCGAGAAGTCTCCTACTAATTATGAATTGTAGAATATGTTATGGTTAGCACGTTACTTCTAGCAACTATAATAGGAGAGAAAAGATAGTGGACATCAAATGCAATTGTGAAAGAAGAAAAGAGCCAGCTAGATATGAATGCAAATTGAATTGAGTGAATAAGCTAGAATTAGTGGAGTGAGAGCATGTGAGGTTTCTTTAACTTTTAGGGAGAAATTTTATTAATTTTCAAATATGAAAAATTAAGAAAATGATGATAATTCCAAATTGAATGGGATGGAAAATAAAATACCTAGTGGAAAGACAAAGAGAGTAGAAACTGTAGGAATGAGAACTTGGTAGAGAATTGGCTTAATTCTGACGGGGTGGAATGGGAGTTCAATAGAATGAAGAATGGCATAAGAAAAATATTGAAAATAAATACAGAAAAAAAAATACAAAGAAAGAAAAATAAGAGAAGGAAAATTTTTCAATTTATCCTCTTTCTTCTTTTCTTTTCCATGTAGCCACCTGTATAGAAAATAGTAAAACTAATAGAAAATAAATTTTAGGAAATTAAAAATAATATTCAATAAAATCTGAAAAAACATGCAATGAATTCTAAAAATTTTCTAAAAAATATTTCTTTACCCTTTTACCTCAAATATTACCCATTTATTTCAAATTATATCAAAACAAGTATTAAAAAACTAAGATAAGAGAAATAAAAGTGTGTAAAATTTATGAATTATCAAGTACTCGACCCAGTGCACTGCTTACACTTAGGAAATGCAGCACCTCTATATGGCCCAAAATTACCTATTGTTTTGACCAAGGTCAAAAAAACACATCATCAAGGTTGTCCTTAACCTCGCGTCGGGTTGCCCAAGCTTATTTTGAACCCAGTGGTAGACTCAAAAACTCACCACTATTTTTTGTCCATAACTCCTTTGTCCAACCTCCATTTGGCACGATTCCAGTCTCATTTGAACTATCTCTCCACCCTCTATACAACCATACCAATTTTACAAGCTAAAAACCCATATTTCAAAGACCTAAAATTTTGACAGAAAATTCTCCTTTACGTGTTCTCAAGAACAACTTCAATGAAGGCGTTGGATACTTCTAAAAAATGTTTTCGACTCACAAGAATAGGGAGAGGAAGAAGAGAAGGTCCATATATGATGAAACTCATCACATGGAGAGATTTGAAACATCCAAAAAGAAACAAAATTCTAGAAAACAAAAATATAATGGAACCTAGAGAAAAATATAACAATATGCAGGGGCAATATGGATGCGTTCAATATTAGCACAACAGAAAATAAAGCATATTGAGAAGCCAACCAAGTCCTAAATCAAAGAAAGGAAGCCCTTTGATCAACAAATGGTTGGGGTAGGAGAGTTTATGCATGATGTACATTTAGTAAGCTCATAACCATAGTAATAGAAATGATGCAGCTTTGATACCACTGAATGAATATTAAATAAATAATAAACTGAACAAAGAAATCAAGTTAGAGTCTTACCAAATACGGGCATAGAAAAATCTACTCAACTATCCACACAAGTTTAAACTACTATAATCTAAATTAAAGTGCATAGCAGATGCACCGAAGAGATAAAGAGAGAGAAAGAGAGAGGAAGAATGGGTGAGTTTTTCCTTTAGCCATCCATCTCTATTTATTGTGAGGGGAGGCTACAGTAGAAAATAAAAATCCATTCAGTATTAATTTACTTCATTATGGAGGGAATAAATTGATTGGAATAATCATCATTATTGTGAAGGAATATTTCTCATTCTAAAATTCAATCAAAAATTAATCGTGCATTAATTCTTAATTTTGGTCAACTTGTTATTGCCACAATAATATTGGATCCACTAATCACTCCGATATAATGATATGATTCCCATCAAGGGTGGATTCTTAATTCCAACATTAATGGAGGTTGATAAACGAAATAACATTATAGGCTTTCTCTAATAAAGTTATAAAAATATAATAAATTATAATGGCAACTTTGTCAGATAAAAACCTCTAAATTTTAACCAAGGGTAGTTTCACAATAAACAACTTAGTTATTGAGATTCACCTAATTTTTTTATAAAAATTACATACAAGTCTCACTTAAGATAATTAATTAATCTCAAATTCATTGACAATTGAACTCAGAAGAATGACAACACATTAAAGTTTAATACATTAAAGATAAATGTATAAATATCATTAAAAATTGTATTAAGTTTTATAATTTTATCCTCTTTCTTTCTTTTCCCTACTTTTTTTTACCAACTTTCTTTTGCCTACTTAATAAATAGAATATAATTATCCTTAATTCATTTTTGAGTCATTTACAAAGGTCAATTTTATACTCCTTTTGCACCACAATATAGGAATTTTATAGTAGTTTTAGTTGGTCCAAAATATAAAGTATTAGGTTAACTTTTATAATTATTTTTCACCTATACCCTTATTTAATGAAAGTAAAATAAGAAAGATGTAATTTTTTTAATAAATTAATATTTCAACTAAAATTTTTTATAAACTGTGAATTAGTTACCAATGCCCTATACTTTGATTTGGAGGAGGTAATATTTTTTTATTTTATTTATAAGTTACTTCTAACATGTTTTACGAGAATTAAGGAAAATCTTAAAAGTTATTAATTCTGGCTAAAAATTTAATAAATTTTTAACTTTATCCTTATTAAATATATATCATTTAATAATAATTTTTTCTTTTGCAAATATTTAATGAAAGGAAAGAGGAGATAATTATGATAAAAAAATTAATGACCTATCTTATAAATTAAAAATTTAATATCTATAATTTATTTTAAAAAAATTGTCAAGGACCAAATTGTTATGAATTTAATTATTTGGGATTTTACTACCATCCTCCCATAAGAAAAAAAATAAACTTACAAATTATAAATAGGAAAATATTTTCTAGCATATAAAGTTAACAAGTGCATGCATATTATTTATGTAATTAAGTTTCAATTTTCAACGCTTCGATATTAAAACTTATTACATCATCCACTAATGTAGATGTCTTTTTTTTTTTTTTTTGGTTAAGTGTGCATGCACGTGTATTGGCCATGGTTTAAATCATACTTCCTCTGTTATCACATGTAAGAGAAACTATCTTATGTCTTATTATTTTGTTATTATAAATAAAATTATAAATTTTAAGAAGCATTAATTATTTTTTTTTAAATTGCCCTCATAAATGGATAGTATCATTAAATTAGATAAAAAAGTAAACAATAATTATAAGAATATTTTAATCCAAACATTTTTATTTCATACATAATTATTAAAATTAATTAATTTTTTTAAATCATGTGAATTGGTTAAAATTTTCTTGTATTTGAAAACCTAGGGGTTGAAAAAGCTAACAATTTCATATTATAATACATTTAAAAAAAATGACATCTCAAAATATAGCATATTTATTTCAATATTTCAATATTTCTCTCTATCTATTTAATTTATATTTCTATTTTTTTTTATTATATTAATGAAGAATATTTTTAAAAGTTTATATTTTTTAAAAATTAAAATTATTAAATATATTTAACAAGATTTATTGATATGTGAAATTTTTTTAAAAGTAATTTACAATTTAAAAAAAGAGAATATTTTATTTATTTATTTATTTATTTTTTTTGGGTGACGAAGGGAGTATTTTATTAGTGGGAAACATATTTCGTACGGTTTTGACATTAACCGCGTCAAAAGCACTATCATCTCGTCCAAATTATTCAAGGATTTGATTTTTCCGACAATCCTATCCTTCCTCACTTTGTCCCAATCATTTAATCACTTTTTCTCCAGTCGGTCGGTACTGGGCTTCTATTCTTAGCAGGTTCAATTTCGTAGCTGCGATTCCAGCTTCACTGGCGATAAGTCTATGCAATCTCGTTTTCTATATGATCCCATTTTAGTTTCTATTCAATCTCGTCTTCTGTTCTAACGCAATTACACAGATTTCGTCTGGCGTCTGAGTTCGCGGCCGCATTCGATAACTTCAACGCGGTGAGTTCCTTGCCGTTATTTGTCTTATCTATCATATTTGATATATATTCTTGTTCTTTAACCCTTCGTGTGCCCTGCTTCTTTGTATTTTCATTCTTCCTGTCTCTTTGATCTCTAGAGCCCCATTAATCGTTGTTGTTGTTGTTGTCATCTTCAGAAGGAAAAAACCAAACAATCTGTGTGCTCTGCTTGCATATATACAGACAAATAAAGGGAAAAAAAATGCTAAATTTCCTATCCAGGATACCTCTCCCGTGATTTGATATCTCCATCAATTGCTGTTATTGTTCTTCTTTATTTAAAAAATAAAAAAACAATTTGTGTGCTCCCCTTGAATCCCTATTGATATTTCTCTCCAGTTACTTCACTTTAATTTTTTTTGTTGTCGTTGGTCTTCTACTTCTTGTTCTTTAAAAAAAGATAATAATAACAATAATCCTTGTCCAAGGTACATATCCATCAATCGTTGATGTTCTTTGTCATCGTTTATCATTAAAAAATTTATTTGATATATATTCTGATAGTTTCTTTGTCTTCTGTCCGAATCTACACATTTTTTTTAATAAAAAGGCAAATATGTACAGTAAAAAGAAAAAGTTACATAATGACAATATTTAAAGGGGGAAAAAAGCAGCAGCGAAATAGTCTGATGAACACGTGAAACTATGCCAGGAGATGAACTTCTTGTTGAAAGGTTAGAGAAGATACGCTTGTCATGAGTCCAAGCTTCCAACGAAAGGCTCCCAACTTCATTCTTTAACTTAGATTCAAACTAAAGAGAGTGGATTCTTCTAAGTTAATCTAAATCACAATTGCAACTTTTGCAGTATTGGTTAATCCAATAAAGCAAGCTACGAATACATGCAATGGCAAATCCTTGTGAATTCAAAAAAGGAGATTTCTTGAACATTATGCCATGTGTGATGCCCACAATAATTAACAACTAATTAAATTTTAGTGTCATGGGAGTTAAGACTAATCCTTAATTAACCATTGTCATGTTAGTATATATTTAACTATAGCTACCAAATATAAGGACAAAAGAAAACTCTTTGAAGACAGGATCCCAATAAAAAACAATTTTCAAAAACCATCGAGCTCAAAAAAATGCACTATATTAGAGTTATCAGTAAACAGAAGCAAGTTACAACTCATTAGTAGGGATTATACCACAGTACAAGGACAAACCAGTCCTTTACAAAACTAAGCATTTACACAATGGTTGACTTCCCAACTCAAAAATCTAACTGAGCAATTCTTAGGAGTCAAAGGATACATTTCAAACCACAATTTAATTATGAACATCATCAAAATCATACATAAGGTATTGATCACAATTTTGCTAGCTATATTATAAGTCCAAAGACTTGGGTTAACAAAAATAGATAGACATCCCACATTCAACAGTATTTATAGCACAATAATTAATCCACAATAATTTCACTAGCTCAAATACAAACTCATGAGTTTACTCCATAAAAAAGCTAGGTAGACAATAAATTATAGTCACAAAATCAATTACAATCATAGATGCATAATATGTCCCTAAATTGGTAATATATATATATATATATATATCCTATTACAAAAAGATAAAGGAAGCATGCAAGGTGCAATTTGGCTCTAAGTCTCTGGGTCCTTCCCTTTGCCAGTACCTAAATTGTTACATGTAAATATTAATTACAGGGTGAGATAAACATCTTAGTGACTAATAAATCCTAACTTCTAATATATATAGGCATAAGAATTAAGGGCATGTAATGTAACTCCTAGATTTTTATTCTAGGAATTTCTATTGTTTATAAGGGTAATATGATCAAATTAAATAAATGATTGTTTAAGGGTGCTTTTGGGAGACTAATGAAGCTAATGGGTTATTAAACAATCTTAAAAGAGGGCTAGATTGGAGTTCGAGCAGGCCATGGCATGAAGAGAGATTCAAACGTGTATAGAGCTCTCTATGCCATGCTCTGCGGTGCATATGCAAATTTTTACATTTATCAGTAGCAAAATCAGACCAAAAAGGAGAAGTAAGAAAGATAGAGAGCGAGGAGAAAACAAATAGCAGTTGGTGGGTGCTAGGGCTCGACCATGGGGTTACTTTGGAAGCATTTGGAGCAAGGTTTAACTTTGGTTAAGCTTCTTATACCTCTTCCTCTCCCTATATTCAAATTTTCTGAGGTTTGGGGTATTTGGAGCTTTTGATTCGATTTTTCTTAGGTAATGGCTGAACCAATTGCTTTAGTTAAGATCTTAGGGAGTTAAATCAAACCTCTAAACCTAAATTTATAGATTATATAGTGATTTGGAGTTTTTAGTTAAGGTTTGGACGAATCCTTGATAGAAATTAGAAGATGGAGGATAATGTGAGTAATGTAATGGGTTGTTTATGTGTTTGGTTGTTAAATAGGATTAATGAAGTGTATTGAAAGAATTATTAGGGCTAAATTAAAATTTTGGATATTAAGGGTACTCAAAACTATGTTATAAGTAAGGTAATAAGTGTGTGGATTGATAATTAAGAGTCTAATCTTGTAAATTAGCCATTGATCAAGGCTTGTGGTGATAGTGGACACATGTGGAGCCATTGATTGACCATAGTAACTCTTTTAATGACAAAAGAGTTGAGGTAACTGGATTGCCTAATCTTCCTATTTGCGTGTTTAGATAGCTATATGAATATCTTTGGAACTATTGTGCTTGTTTTGAACTAGTGTTGTATTAATATGAAATGTTTATTATTGAAATTATGTGAGGTGGAATGATGAATTTATGTTTAGTGTGGTTTTCGAAGGCAAAATGCTATTTTTTAAGTATAATTATTTGCAAAACTATGTTTAAGTAGAAATAAATGTTTATGGTAAAAATCATATGTTATGATTATGTGTTGGAGCATTGAACATATTTAGCATAATCATTGTGAGAGGGTAGGATTTCACTCTAGTGTGTGGTTAGGGACATTATTTGAAAATCTATATAGTACACTGATATCGTGGATGCTCTAATACTCAGTATTATATTATTTAAAAGTTTTAGTACTACGTGAGGTAGATTTGGCATTGACACCCTTAATATTCATGAACAAGGGAAATTTGTGGTCTATAGTGGGAGAAAATGCTCTTGGCCGAGGCTACCTTCTACTAATGGTAAGCTTGGGCCAGTCCAGTCACATGAACTTGGTCCTATCAAGTTGTTAGCCCACAAATTTAGTTGAAAGACATAATGAAGGTATAAGGTAGTGTGTTGATCATACATATTATACTAGAATCATATGTGTGTATATATGATTGGATATACATTTAGAATGCCACTTCACATATGCACAAACTGCTTTCACATATGAGTAATTTGATTAGACTATTTGATTACTGAGTCCTTGACTTACCCTGTGGTTACATTTTACAGGTGAAGGCTTTGATAGGGGCAAAGGAAAGGAAGGTGTATCCGAACATCGAGAGGACTAGCTAGAGTTTGTATATCCTTTTGTTTCCTTTGGTTTGTAATGAATGAAACATGAATATGCCAACTTAGGAAAAATATATGTCATTTTGTATGCACTTGCATGATTATTATCGTTGATTGTGGGTATCTCAGCTTAAGATGTTGTGTCTATGTTGTAATGACTGTAAGAGGTCAAGAACTAGTGTAAATACTAGTTTGTAGTACTTTATATGTTAGTTTGGCCATTTGAAAGACTATGGTACGTTTTATTCCCAGTGAGATCTACATCAAATATGGGGTTTTGGTAGCCAAATCTTGTTTGAGTTATTGTTGTTGTGATTTGAATGTATGTATAGGTTGTTTATGATTCATTTGAGTTAGTTCAAGTAGTTCCACGATAATTGGCACTTAGTTTACGAGTTTAGGCACCTTAGTAGTGGTTTTTGAAAGAAAATGTGTCATTTTAGATTCGGGTGTTCAAATCTTGTTTCACTTAATGTTTAGGTATGAGACTAGTGCCAATAGCACGGCAGCTTTAGGAGCTATGTATAGACACTTGAATCGTTTGAATCGGATATCGAATGGCAAAATGACGCACTCCAAAAGTTGGCCCAAAGAGCTATCATGGCAGTAGTTTGCTATCATAACAGGGGATAGGCGCCATGGTGCATTGTCCATCTTACCACGACACGAGGCACCGAGAGGGATGTTTCCCTTTGTGCAATTTGCCATGGCAAATAGTGTACTACGCTGTGATACACTGTGCCTCTATGGTTGAAAGACCTTCAGTTTTGCTTAATATTTTCATATGGTAAATTCTCATGCTTCCATTGTCTTATTTATTTAGTTTTAAACTATAATTTGAGCTCAAATAACTTTTTAAAAAAGGTTTTCTTAAGATCCCATTTTCTTAAATATTCTTTTAACCCTTGTGTTATGATAACCATTTTCTTAAGATTAAAGTAATCTCGGTTATCATAACGTTGTTTTGTCTATTTGGTAATGTCAGGGATGATGTTACATGTAAAGCATTAACTAACAATATTAGATTAAAATAAAACATTTAAGTATGCATGATCAATTAATTTTCTTCCTTATATCTTTCTTATTCCTTCTAATTAAGTCTATGGGTTACAATTCATAACAGGACTAATCCATATGACTAAACTAGCCCAAACTCTTCAATGTTTAAAGAGGTAACCTAGCCAAAGATTATTGCTCCCTAACTTAGACCATGGACTTCCCTATTAATTGGATTCCCAAAGGATGTCATAATTGTTGCTAGTACCACATACCTACTCGTGGAGTAGAGTGAGTATCATTGGCTAAGTTAGAACCACAACAAACTCTCACCAAAGCCAATGCCATAGCTATGTAACACTGGGAGCTATCTAGGTGTTGTCTATGCCATATGGACTTACAATATAATAATCTTTCAACTATAGTGAACTCCCGCCAATTTCAATTCTCAATCATGACATAATGTATCACAATTTTATTCATGCACCATAATGTAATTACACATGCTAAGAAATCACAATTTGTAATCAACAAACTCATTTTCATCCACATATACATATTTCACAATTTACATTCAAAGAGAAACGATTCTCATAATTTACAACAAAACATAGCTTACTTGTTTCACTGAATGTTATTTAACAAATTAATTTATGTCCACTTTACATATTTTTTAAAAACATCAAAATTGTATCTAAACATATAATATACATTTCATAATTGTTATAATAACAAAAACCCTTAAAACATGCTTACGAGGGAATTTAAGTTTCCGTTTACCTTCATCCCTTGAGTCACTTAAAAGGGGCACCCATGGATTCAATCCATTTCAAACTTACAAATGCTCTAAAAGTCCAAAAGAGTTTAACCTACAAGTAAACATCTCAAAGACATTAATACAATACT